AACACAAAGGGGTCGTCTGGGCCCAGGGGGAAGGGGGGCAGGAGAAGGGGAGGGTGGGGATAATTTGGGGGGCTTCTTCAGCTTCAGAGAAGGACACTTTGCTGGGAGATGTTGAGGTGGGGAGAAAGGAATTTCGCGATCACCCAGACGGAGCTGCTGCTGCTTCTCCTCCCCTCTTTGTTGGTGGCCTCGCACCCCCTGTCCTGCTGGGATGTGTGGCAGTGCCAGGCATCACCACAGAGCTGCTGATCCACCTCAGCCACCAGCCCAGGATCTCAGCTCATCCCTGCTGTTCCAGCTGCGTGTTCCTCAGAGCCCTGCAGGAGCACCAGGACTGCCCCAGGGGGTTTGTGAAGCAAAGCCTCTCCTCCATCCCTTCCCGTCCCGGCCGAGAAAGCTGTCACGGGGCCCCTGGTTCTGTTTTGTTGTTAACGCTGTAGTTATTGTTGTTTGTGTGCCTCGTTATACACACTAGTAAAGAACTGTTATTCCTATCCCCAGATCTCTGCCTGAGAGCCCCTTGATTTCAAAATGATAATAATTCGGAGGGAGGAGGTCTATATTTTCATTCCAGGGGAGGCTCCTGCCCTCTCCAGCAGCCACCTGTCTTCCAAACCCGAGACCCATGGGCACACAGCATCCAGGGAATCAGTCCAGATGCAGATGTGGCACAGAAGGGGACAGATGTGGCACAGACAGGGACAGACGTGATGTCCCCTTGGCCTCCACTCCAGGATGGGACAGATGTGCTGCAAGGAGCCTTTGCCAGAATCAACAGCCCCTGAAGCAAAGGTCCAAGCACACTGTGCCAAGTGTCCCCTGGGCAGGTCCAGCTCCCAGGAGGGGTGGGAATTTCTGACGGTCCCTTCCCTTGCCTTGAAAAGAGTTAATGTTTAATTCCCAGTTAATTCCCAGTCTCATGGCCCATTCCCAGCCAGTGCCACCCCTGTGCTGACAGGTGCTTTTCTCCCAAGGAATGAGCAACAGGGCAAGAGGAAAGAGCCTCAAGTTGTGTCAGGAGAATTTTAGATTGGAGATTAGGGAACATTTCCTCATGGAAAGGGTGGCCAAGCCCTGGAATGTGTTGCCCAGGACAGTGATGGAGTAACCATCCCTGGAAGTGTTCAAAATCATATGGATGTGGCAGCTGGGGACATGGTTTAGTGGTGGCCTTGTCTGTGCTGGGTTTACAGCTGGGCTCAATGATCCAGGCTTTTCCATCTTCAATGATTCCATGATTCTATGCGATTCCACGAGTCCATGAGCCACGCTCAGGTGCTGCTGCACGAGCTCTTGGGGGGTCCTGGCTTAGCCCAGGCAGTTGTCACCTCCAGGTCAGGTCACCAGGTGCCACATTCGCCCCAACGGCCACGGGGTCAGAGCCCCTGGAGCCATGTGTGCACCAGGTGCTGGGCCCAGGGGGACCTTGGGGGGTATTTTGGTCAGGTCAGTCCCTGGGCTTCACTTTCTGGGAACCGCTTAATCAACAACACAATTATGCAATGGGTGCAAGAGCCGCGGCGGCTCCGCGCTGACCCCTGCCCCAGATCCGGGGGCCGGAGCGTGCCGGGGGGCACAACCGCGAGGAGGGGCTGGGGGTCGGGTGGTCCTGCTAAGCTGGAGGTGGAATGGGGGTTCAAGGGGTGATGCCCCGTGCAGAGGTGATGTGGGAGATTTCGGTCTTTAAAACTTCAGCTTTGAGCTTCTTTAGATCTCAGAGCCAGTCTTAAAGGTGCAGAACTTAATATATAACATAAATATATTGGCTATTGGGGATACCAGTATCATAAAGTCACCCCAGGACATCAGGGTTGAGTTGGATGCTCCTTCATGGGGAGTTTTGCTTGTCTCGGTTCTGTGTCAAGAAGAATACTTTAAAGGCTCATTAGGTTTTTGTTTCTCGTGTTTATTAATATATTACCAAAAGATTTGGCAGGTCTTCCCCAGATTTTCTGCTCAAGTTCAATCCACCATCACCTGGCTCAGATTGGCTTGAATGGCTCAAAATGGCCTCAAAATACACAGCTCTTTTATCTTTATACTTATTTTCATCCAATTAACAATAGACATGTAAATTATTTTTCTTAGTGACCCAATGACCCAACACCTGTGTGTTGCACTGTGTCAGTCTATCTAATCACTTTTTATTACCCAAAAACCTCTAGAAGAAGAAGATGAAGAAGAAAGAAGAACAAGAGACAACACCTTAAATCTTTCATCTTATCTTCTTTTCTCTAAACTAATTTAAACTCTAAACTTTTTCACCCAGTGACTTAAGAAAACTCTCTATTTACACACTCACACTTCTAGTTTTTCTATCTATCTTTAACAGTTGTTTTCATGGTGTTATATGAAATTCAATGTTTTATTGGATGTCAGAGCCAGGTATCAGAGATAAGGGCACGCTCTCTGTGCCTCTGACTCCAACAGGAGGGATCCGGGCAAGTTTGACAGGTTCCCTTTGGGGACACCCCGCTCCCAGCCTGGAAGGGAGGGTGGGTGCTTCGGGGGGTGCCTCATCCGTTTTCCCACCCTTTGTGTCCTGTTTCCTGCTGTGCCCCAGCCCCAGCCCTGCCTCTGGGGTCTGGCAGGGATGGGGGAATACAGCACAGCAGGGTGTGTGGGGCACAAGGAGTGTCCAAAATGGAGCAGGAGTGCAGATATTTGGGAGGGGGCCTGGGCATGTGTAAGTGCATCATAGAATCCAGGATGGTTTGGGCTGGAAGGGACCTTAAAGCTCATCCAGTTCCACCCCTTGTCATGGGCAGGGACACCTTCCACCACCCCAGGTTGCTCCAAGCCCTGTCCAACCTCTTGAACACTTCAGGGAGGGGCTTCTCTGAGCAATCTGTGCCAGTGCCTCACCAACCACACCGAGAGGAATTGCTTCCCCATATCCCATCTAACTCCATCCTGTCAGTGGGAAGACATCACCCCTGGTCCTGGGTTTAAAAAGTCGCTCTCCATGTGGGAGCATCTTTCCCCATGAGCACGTGTGCCCTGTGCCTGGCTGGAAGTGCCACCGGCTCCATCCTGCTCCTGCCTGCAGCCAGGGCTCCCAGCCCCTGTGGGATCCGTGCTCCCAGGCCAGCCTGTGCCCACTCTTTTCTCTCTGTTGACATTCCTGGGCTATTCTGGGAGCTGCCAGCGGGCCCAACCAGCTGAGCCCTTTGCCCCTTGCTCCGTGGTTGCATCACCTGTGGTGGGTGCTTTTTCCCAGACTCTGTTTACATGGCACCTCCGGCTTGGCCAGGGCCAGGGGCTCCGTGTGGTCAAGACCTTGGAGTCGGTGCACGGCGCGGTGGGCACAGGACATGCCGGAGCACCAGCCTGGCAGGGCTTCAAGTTCCCTGGCTTCCCTTCTCCAGATGGGCTCTGCCAATCCCCCAACACCGTGGCATCTTGCATCATTTTCATGAGGTTTCTGCTAGCCCCTGCCCTGCCTCAGCCTGCACATCCCGCTCCAAAGAGTCCGAGAAACATCTGCAGGTGATGTGGCACTGGCTGTCACCTCCTGAGTCCTCAGGACACACAAATCCCCTTTTTGTTGTGTGGGGAGGAGGGAATACAGTGCACGCATTCACCGGCCCTTCCCAGCTCTGCCCCGAGGAACCAGCGGGTGCAAGGGGTGGGCTCAGATCCCCAAACCCATCACCTGTTGGGAGTGACAAAACCCAGAGATGTGACAGTCCACAGGAGCTGTGGGGTCAGCCCAGGAGCCCCTTGATCCCTGCTGGGTCTTCTGTCAGCACCCAACGGGACTGTCACCTCCAGGATGGCTCGAGGGTGCCCAGGGGACCGTGCCCAGGCTGGGGCAGCTCTGTGGGATCCATGGATGGGCAGCGGAGCTGGAATCCCTCTAAGCTGGCTGCTCTGGTGCTGGGGCTCCTCCACCGGGCAGGAACTGCCCCAGCCCTCACTCCCTGAAGGTTTTGGAGGATCCCACTGCCCCGGGGGGCTGGCTGGGGTTTCTCTTCCCCGTGGGCAGACGCCCTGCAGGCAGATCCCAGCTCTCACAGAGCCCCTTGCCCACAGAGCTCTGCACATTCCGTGTCTGCGCACACCCGTGTGAGCCTCCCCCCGTACGATCCCTCACTCCTCACTCGTGCTCAACCCACGCGGGCACGGCGGGGCCGGTGCTCGGCTCCCCGTGGGGCTCCTCCCGCAGCCACCCGAGGGTCTGCGGGGAACGGGGGAGGGTGGGGGGCTGCTCACCGACCCCCCCGCGGGGAGGCGGGGGTGGGGTGCTAATCCCGGTAATCCCCGACGGGACAGGACGGGCAGGTGCGGCGGCCAATGGCGGGGGGGGGGGGGGGGGGGGGGGCG